AATAATAATAATAATAATAATAATAATAATAATAATAATAATAATAAAAGGATTTTCTTACTAATTTAATCCTTTTGTTAATGATTTGTTTATTTATTTATATTTATATTTATTGTCTATATATAAAATGTCTTTCAGCTGAGGAACTTCATATTTGATGCATTCTTTAAAATAGCACAATACTTTTGGCATGAAAATTTTCATTACATTATTCGTGTAATATACATTACAGATACTTATATGAATATTGAAAAATTATATATTCAATATATTCAATATACTCGATAAAAACGATACTTTAAAGTTTAAAGTAAAGGGACACGCTAAAAAAGATACCTAAATATAACACACTTTTATAAGTGATAAGATTTCTGTAAAATATTCATACTACAATGATCAAAATGAAAGTATATAATGCAATATAGACATGAAGTAAATACATATCAAAATATAAATATTCCTTCTGATCGTATTAAAAATCATTAAGCATTAGACGCTGTTTTAGAATAATTTGATTGTTGGTTTAGAAGACTATCGCCTGTTCCTAAATCTTTGGACGCTCGTGCGAATGATTGAGCGGAGATCATCAGGTCTTTTCTTCTTTCTTGATACGCTCTTATATAACATAACATGCCCGTTACAAAGCAGACCTAAAAATAACAATATAGTCACACTTCCGATCCTATTTATAATGACTAACTAATTAATAGATGTGATTACCTGTAATAATACTGAACACAATGCAAGCAAAAAAATATGCAGAAGAATCGATCTAGTATGATTTATCACAGCATGCTGGCAACCGTATGCATACATACTAGTACACACGCCTTTATTATCACTAAGATTTGTAAGTGATGACGTATCGCAACAAGACCAGGGAACTGCATCTCGGTTACGATAATCGGCTGGCCCGTTTATTCCACAACAACGTAACTAAGCAAGAAGTAAATACATATTTAATTTAGAGGCTTAACTTAAAAAGTAATTAAATGTACCTTCGAATGCATATGATCCCAAAGAAGCTTATCATCCGACATAGCAAGCTCAAACATCTGTTCCACGTGCGCGATTGGTAACAAATCTACCTGTTCATGTCTAACAAGTGCCCAAATTCCAGCGCTTGCGTTGATAATCGTAACAATCATAAATAATACGGAAAACTAAATGGAAAAAAAATGTTTTTTTTTTTATCGAAAATAAATAAGGAAGGAAATCGTATCGAACAATATAAAAAAGTACACATATAAATTCGAAGAAAAATTTCTTATCGTTAAAAAAGGAGTAATAATTTAAATATATCTTAATAATGATAATCTAATAATAATAATCTAAAATTTCTTACAATTATAACTTGGCCCTTATTTGTAAAATCTAGAAATTGCCAGGCACACCAAGCTATCATACACGTTATCAAACCCATCACTAGCAACGTTATCGCTGAACCACATATATTGCTAGGCGTGAGGGGTGCATATTCATACAACTGATATATGAAATATCCAGCGCAAACGCTTTCTACAATACCGCATACCTATGAAGAATAAAAAGAGAAATTTTTATCATTCATGATGTACGATACATTTTACGGTGATAACATACTCTAACATATAGCGATAAGCGGTAATTAATTATATCTAATCATAATATTCCTTGTAACAAAAAAGGATTCAACGATAAGACATATCTAGTTTCCATAGAAAAACATTTCACACGAATTACAAATTAAGGTTTCAAAAAAGATTGAATGATAAGATTTTTCGAGTTTCTATGGAATAACATTTCAAGTAAATTACAGATTTTAATTTTGACATCGGTTTATACGATCGGTTTCGTTTATCTTGTAACTGAGAAACATTTTCAATAGCACTCCTTTTTCTTTGTGAACAAATTGATCTTGACATACTTTAGCACTATCAGTACTTTGTTTACATTTTGATTCCCATTATTAATAGATATAGTTCACCATATTCATTTGTTTGTTGTAAACAAATTCAATACAATATTAAAAAATAATAAAACAAATATCATCCATTAAATTTGAAAATAATTTCTTTGAATAATATATTACATATATGTGTAATACGTTTATACAATAACATTATATTGTGTAAGCATAAAAGTTCCAATGTGTAGAGTTTAAGTTATCGATCATTTTTCGGTGTATATGTGATACTGATATTAAAGACGAGCAATAGGAAGTTTATCTGTTAAGAGATCAAAAAATATATGATAAAGATATACAAAAAAAGTTTTTATATGTAGTTACATAAATCTTAATAATTTTGATAAACATATTTATTTAATCCTTACTTGTATATTAATCAATAATCGATCTTAAAATTAATTCTCGATCTCGATTTCAATATTAATCAATGATCGATCTCAAAAAGACATTTAATAATAATTAAATTGCAATGATTTATATGAAATACGAAGTAATAATTCAGAAATCGAAATAATAATCTTTATGTCAGGCAATTAATTTCTCCAATTATTTTTAGAGAAATTTGAAGTTTTAAAAATACAACAGATATATAGAGCTATTCGATTACAAGCAAAAAGGTTAAGAACGATAGTAAGTTGGCGAATATCCAATTTTGCAAACAAATCTAAAATCACTGACTACTGAACTTTCAATAATAGAACGTGGAGGACTCAGATTGAGAAAGGTAATATTGTTTCGATTTTATTTAAGAACTTAAATAAAACTTTTTTATAATATAACTTTAAATCATGATTCATCACGCGCGTAAACAAGTCAAGGTGACAAATATGCACTTACGCCAATGACAATAGCACCACCGATGAGAAAGTATCGCAAACAGGCAAGCGTCTGTGCCATCATAAATTAATAAAAGAAAATCACTTTAACAACATGAACAGAAGATTTAGTTAATACAAGTTAACGAAAAGAAAGAAGTATCACCAAGTGTCGAGCAACCGTCACCACGGTGACCAGGTGCAAACCTTAGACCTGAATCGTCATTCTACTGAACTACAAGCGTGACTGATCTTACGTTGTTACTCTTATCAGAACTCTGATGTACATAATGTACATTTTACATTGTATACAATGTACATTTGTACATTATTTTACATTATAAAATTTTTTTGTACCTTTTTTAATTTCTATCTATACTTTTGTTTTCCATCGATTAAAATCGAGGATCATATGTTCACCATAGACAAATATAATGTAGATGTAGTATCTCATAGAGAATTCTACTTTTCCCTTTACAATTTAAAATCAATATATCAGAAATTATATTAAATATGAAAATAAGATACATAATAGATTTATAGAATTTTTTGTCATATTTTCTAAAATAGTGAATAAATAGATACGGAAATAATAAGCCTCTAAAATGTAATTGAATGTTAACATTTAACATTAAATTGAGTTTAACATTTAACATTAACGTAACATTACAGATTTGTGCATGAAATTCCCTATTTTGTCTTTTATTAATAAGAAAACCTCCGTATAATGATTAATATTTCAGAATGTGTGATTTGAAATTTCATAAGCTGTTACATCTATTCTATACATTATCAATGCATATGACTCAAATGAGTAACAAAGCGACAAAACTATTCATTGTTGTTCTTATTGTTAGTCCAGACTACAGATGTGAGCTGTCAAAGAATTAATAAGCAATTTAGGTGTTATTTTATGAACATTTAAATTTGTCGATTATGGATCCAGGGAAAAATGAAATTTGTGATTTGAAAGAAATTATTTTGAACGAAAGTGTTGATACTGTCATCCAGGTATGTAATATTAAAAAAATATATATCTGTCAAAAAATTTTTTTTTTAAATATGAAGCAATTTTAGGATCGTACGTTGTTAAGACGACCAAAACGTGTATTGCATTTCTCGGATGGGGATTTAGAAGAATATTCTGAAGATGAAACAGATGTACCATCTGTAAATACTACAGTGACTCAAATAGATCCAGTTAGTTTTTGTTTACAGCTGTTATTGTATAAATAATTACATAATTAGATAATCCAATAGATTTTACATTAAAATTAAAAAAAATTTTTAGACAACTTTGAATTGGTTACCTTGGGCTTGGTATCAAACTACTTCTATTGGTAGTAAAGTGTTAGATGGCTGTGATTATGTAGGTGAATGGTTAGCTGGCTTTTTTGGAATAACAGCACCTAAGTATCAATTTGAAATCAATGAATTTTATAGACTTCAGGCTCTTGAAAATGAAATTCTACGCAAACAGGATTTGGAAATGGGTGGATGGAATGAACATAATAAGAATAATCTTGTAAATAATGTACAATGAATTTATTATTAACTAATATTTTTTATATTTATTTATTAAATTATATTTATAAAGTATATTTTATGATTTATTACGTATATTTTATGATTTATTATATAATTTTTATTGCAAATGTTGAAAAGTATATGCATAGTTTAAGAATTATAATCATTCATTTGAATTACTATTATAAATAAAAAATGTAACTTTTATTTTAATCTTCTTTTACTTTGTACTTCAATCTTCTATAATTCTGTATTTCAATCTTTTTTACAAAACATCAAAAATTTAATTAAAATAAATTAATATTACAAACATACAAGTATAGCAATTTTGTTTTAAGGAAAACTTAACAATAATTGAAGCTTTTGAATTTTATATTAGGTTATGTATTAAGCTATTGTTTAATATAGTAAAAAATGTTATTGTAAATTACTATGTATGAATATAAAGGATTCATAGTGTACAAAAATTACTACAAATGTTTTAGAAACATTTAGTATTAAAATACATTTATACATAGGTTTATAATACCAATTTTACCACAAAAATCTTGTATATAATAATTTTGTACAATCTGTATGCAATTGCTTGAAAGCATACGTATAACCACGAAATATACTTATTTTAAACAAAATTCTATAGTTATAATTGTCACTTTTTACATTATAAATTGGCGCAAATAATACTTTGTCATATCTTATTAGACCTTGAGAATGTTCCCTTAATACATAATCAATTTTAAAATCGTATTTAAAATAAGTGGAATGCTGTCATGTTACATTATTGTACACTAAAAAGTGTTTTTATAAAGGAACATTCATAAGTTCTTTATATATGTAATTGCTTTTAGCATGTATATACCTGCAGTCTTGTATAGCAGGAACTGATTGCATTTTACATACTTATATGGATAGTCTTTTATATTTTCAAAGCTCAAAAAATTATGTTTCTGGCACAAACCTATGTAAAGCACTAGTCAGAACTAATAAAGAGCTTTGAAGGCCCTGAGGTAAATGTCTTTGTAACCATGAACCTTTATATTGTTCTATATGAGCCAACATTTTGTTTGCTACATCAGTCCTAAATGTAGGTGGTAGATTACATATTCCTAAATTAATCACTGCAAGGCCCATATTACTATTGGGATTAACACCGACGCCAAACAGTGTTCTGCCAATTTTACATGCTGTTAACATTAAATCAGCAGTTAACTGAAGCTCTTGTATTTCCATTGATGCAAATTTCGATGATAGATTTCCTTCATACAATGAATGTGAAATACGTTTTACTTGTTTTGTTACTTTCTGTCAAGTAAAGAGAAAACATTATTTCTTTCTCCCTAATATAGTTTAACATTTTATGATTATACTCACAGCAAATAAATCAGCAGAAAGATATTCTAAATTAACATTATCCGGGTCTGTTAATAATCTGTATAAAGTTGATCCTTGATTATCAGGAATTTGTTGTAAATCTTTCGTTCCTTGATTCTTGCTTAAAGTAAGTACTAAAGTATCTAAACGTCCTAACTCTAATATTGCATTACCAATTTTATATTCAGAATCTTGAAAAACATGAATATCTAATAATTTCGTAATACATTTTTGTCTGTAAAAAAATATACTTATTAAAATTATTCTTTTTTACACTTTCATATGAACGTGTAACA